CAAAAGACAAAAGAAAACAAAAGTGGGAAAAAAGAAGTGTTTCTCACATTGAGCCAGGCAATGTACACATTGAAATGTGTCAGAATATTATGCTCTAGCCTGCAGTGGGGTACTCTATAGCGAGTACAACCCAATTAGGGTTTCCTATATGTATGCCAACTGCTGCTAGTGCAAACCCTCCTTTCTTCATTCTTACTTCCTGCCTGTTCATTCTGACATGCTATCAGAGCAGGTCGACCCTCCTGGGTCGATCCTGTGGGTGGGCCCACCACCTAAGCCTTCCGCTGCTACTGCTACTGCTACTGCTACTCTGTGTGTCGCACGCCTCGTGGCGTGCGACGGATTTTTCATCCCGCCGTGCGCCCCGAGGTGTGCGGCGGTTTTCTGCCCGCCGTGCGCCCCGAGGCGCGCGGCGGTTCTCTGCCCGCCGTGCGCCCCGAGGCGCGCGGCGGTTTTCTCCCCCCGTCGCCCGCCGAAGCGCCCCCGGGGACCCGCGCGTCGCCCCCGTCGCCCGTGCGCGGCCCGTACTGCACGAGCGCGGCCCGTACAGGCTGCGCCAGGCCCGCGCGCGGCCTGTTTTGCACGCGCGCGGCCCGTACGGGCTGCGCCAGGCCCGCGCGCGGCCCGTACAACCCGCGCGCTGCTCGTACGGGCTGCGCCAGGCCCGCGCGCGGCCCGTACGGCCTGCGCCAGGCCCGCGCGCGGCCCGTACGGGCTGCGCCTGGCCCGCGCGCGCCTCGGGCCGCCTGCGCGCGGTTCGTACGGGCTGCGCCTGGCCCGCGGGCGCCCGGTCTCCTCTCCCACTGAGCTGCACGCCGTCCCTCGCGCTTCTGACGGCGCCCCACCCCTGCTGCTGCCCGTACTCCTGAATTAGGGTTTGGGGGTGGAGCGTATGGGGGTGCCGTCTCTGTCAGCCGTCCCCTGCTCCTCCTCCTCCTCCGTCTCCCACTGCTGCAGCTGCTGCTCAGGGGGGTGGGTGTGTGGGAGCCGAGGGTTTAGGGTTTAAGGGGGGTGCCATGGGAGTGGAGCTAGGGTTTCAGCAGGGGGTGTGTGTTGGGGGGTGTGGGACAGTTGGAGGAGGTTGGGTGGAGGCAGCCGTCGTGTCGTCTGCAGCGCCTGTATTCCGGGGTTCTGATAGCCACCGGTAGCTCAGAGAGCCGGTTGCACCTGTCGCCCGTGGGTCCGTTGCTCCTGTCGCTGCTGATCAGACGCAGAGCCTGTTACTCCTGTATTCCGGGGCCCTTGCTCCCGGTAGCCACTAGAGTTGCACCAGAGCCGTCTGTTGCCCGTGTGTCTGCAGCTTCAGTCGTCGCCTCCACTCTTCTCTCCTCTCGCCAGCCCTCCTCCTCCTCACTTGCCCTCTGTAACTGCCTCTAGCTTTGCTCATAATTGTGCACTTTAAACTATTGCTTCTTAAACTTGTGCTCAGAATGTGTGGTGACATTGTGATCCACCCTGAGCTTGTACTGCTTTGCTTTCTCTGCTGATTACACCCCACTTTGGCTATGGGGGTGTGTCAGAATGTTATTATTGTCTAGCCTGCAGTGGGGTACTCTATAGCGAGTACAACCCAATTAGGGTTTCCTATATGTATGCCAACTGCTGCTAGTGCAAACCCTCCTTTCTTCATTCTTACTTTCTACAGCTAGTTCTGACAAAATGTGCCTGGGCTTCTGTAGCCGTCTGCATGAGCGGATGCGCCAAACGTGCCGTGATGCCCATGGCCACCAGTCCGTCAATCGTGAGATGAAACTCATCCTCGTCCTTCCCCTTGCAGCTCCATGTTTCTGCCAGAAGCAGCTTGAACCCGCCATTGCCAAGGACGGAAGAGCCGGCGGACAGAGGCGGCGCCACCGGCGAGCCGTCGAGCTCCAGTCGGTCGATGAACCCGCTGCTGCCCCTCCCTTGCTCCTTGCCGTCCCGCGCCTTCAAGAATGTTGAGTGTTGTGTGCCAGTCTCGTCGCGCCACATCACTTGGAGCTCCCTGGCAGGCAAAAAAATGGAGTGCGGAATGTGGGGATCTGAATTGCAAGGGAACACTGCAAAGTACTGCACAGTTTACACATGTACCAAAGAACAAACCAGGTTTATTAGCAAGAAAAGTGTAACATACCTGATCCAACTGCGAATCGGCTTTCCCTTGAGAAGCTTCGCCTTCAGCTCATGCTTCTCATACTGAATGGAATGCCTCTCACCCTCATCCCCTCCACTCCCACTGCTGCGACGACCCATTTCTCGCTCAAGCGCCGCCACCACCTCAGCAGTCAACGGCAGGCTCCCATTGGCCCGCATTCTCTCCAGCTCGCTCAGTTCCTCCACACTCAGCCTCTCCCGCTCCAGATGCCTGATATGACGTGGCTTCTTCTCATTGGCCGCTGCTTCCAGCGCTGCAGCGAGCGACTCTTCATCAAATGATGTCGCCGTGCCGGGGAGATTCGCGATGGGCTGGTAGCCCTTGATTCCCATGTTGATGTGGATCCGACGGTCGGAAACCAAGCAGAAGGAGCGATCGAGAAGGCCGTTGAAGTCGTACTGGGTGCCGTCTGCGCCCCGGAAATGCGGGTCGTCGGTCGTGCCGGCAACGGGGTTGCACTGAAGTTAGCCGCAAGGGAGAAGTGAGGCAGTTTAAAGAAGATAGTTTTGAGAGGGGGGAAGAGGAGGCGTTGATGAGTCACACAGTGAAAGCATCTTGTAGCATCACTGAATGAATAGGCTTGTTACACAGCCTGAGAGGGCAAGAAAACAGCTAGAGAGGAGATTGAGCACAAGAATCTCAGAATCATGCCATGCACGGACATTGTGGTGGTGTGGGATTCAATCAAAAGTTTCGATGATTTGATGGCAAGGGTCGGATCGGATGATATCAGTGGCGATGCTTACGGCTTGTTGTTCACTACCAGTGTGACGTGCCAGAACCTGCACCCAACCTGCATGGCACAGCGTTGACAGCATTCCTTATATATTTTTGTACCTGCCTGCCACAGAGAGAAAGGGCAAAGGACAGCGGCAAGTTATCAGAAGGTGCATGTGTGCCGCCGAGATGATGCTCAACAAAGCAAGAATCTTTAGATATTGGAACTGAGTCAGTGCGAAGGCAAATACGCCGGGCGGAATCGCAGTGGGAGTAGGGTTGAATCGCAGTGGCATTAGGGTTGAATCAATGTTTACCCAGGATGTCTTCTTGGAAGCAACGACATAGGCGGCCGCAGGGTTGAGGATGTAACGCTCTAAGTTGTAGTTACCGAGGGTATTGTCCGGTCCAGACGCCCTCGTGTCTTTTTTAAAATCGTCTATATGATACCCCATTAACATATTCTCGCATTTCTTGTGACATGCGTTGGGTTGTGTCAGGGGGCCGTGAGGTGCGTTCTCGTCAATAGCTTCAGTCTGAGAGGGCGCTCCCAGAAGCACCGCGGCGAACAAGACCAGCAACAACGATGACGTCGCTCCGACGGCACTTCTTCCACTGGCAGTGGCGAAACGGCTTGAAGCACCGCGCTTTTCCATGTTGATTCGAAGCTAAAGAAAGAAAGTGTCTTCGTTTCCCTTACAGGAGCCGACCGAGATGATGGCACTAATCTTAGCACGACTGCAGTGCTAGTTGTCGGTCCGAACTGCCAGCAGCAAAGGAGCCTTATGTGTGTCTGGCAGGTTGGATTCGAATCAAGAAGCAAGAAAGGTTGGCAATCAACGCAGCGCGCATTTTCGAGTCGGGTCGACATTCGCTCGTTCTTGCGGACTCTGAAAAGGGAGCTGGGTTGAAATGAGAATAGCACATCCACTGAACAGTGAAGCCACGTAAGCTTGGTTCAGCTTGACTTCAAGATCGGTTACGAAAGTACGCCGATTCTTCATTGGCAATAGTACACTGAAGTAGTACGTCTCAGAGATAAGTCGGACTATCTGCTATTGGAACCGACCAGATGAATCTGCAGGTACTTCTGTATGGACGTTGATGGTGCAAGACGAGTATGTGAAGATGGGTGTCTGGCAAGACACACGGTGCTTGACGACAACCAAAGAACCCTGGGGTTCGCGAGGCGTGCGAGAAGCTGTAACTACAAAGTTTCTTTAGAGAGAGTTCGCATATTTCGATTTTTTGCAATTGACAACATTCAGAAAGCCCGATGTTTGACGGACGGCGAGTGGCAACTCGAACTGGCAGACTGTCAGCCCATACTGGCAGACTGCCAGTCGATGCTGGCAGAATTTCTAGCACCTACTTCGGTTGGGTTCGGTTCAGCATGCACATGAGGAGGTGTAAACTCCCCCTTGTTTCGGCGATCAATCCTCTGCAGATTCGTTTTTTACGACTTTTGATCGATCCGAGGTCCAAGAGGGCACAAGGAGGGGTTGCGAGAGCTACTTGTGGTAACTTGCAACGACCAATCATGCCATACAAAAGCCTCGTCTTGCGACCGTACGAGAGGCTGAACGATGCACCTCGGATCATCCCAGAAACAATCGTAAGGCGTGAACCCTCCCCTCCCCGTCACAAGGCGTGAAATTTCCCCCTTCGCAAGGCGTGACATTTTTCCCATCCCCCTCATAAGGTGGGAATGTGGATTCTTTTTTATTCAGATCTCGTTTGGCTCAACCCATTCAGCAGCCTCAACTCACGTCACCCCCATTCCATCAGTCATATCGCATAGGCATGGTCCCATGTTTCTCATAAACACATACCATTACCGCTTCGACGAGCGATTTCTTAGGACACGTCACGATCAACACACCTCGCTCCACGCGCCGATCATGACAATCCATTTCGCCCCCTGCCATGGAACCAACATCCCATTTCGTCACCCTCCTCTTCCCCGATCACTTCCTTCCATCCGTGAGATCTGCCTCCTGCGATCGCTCTTCTCGTTTCAACCCTTCCAGCACTGCGGATCTCTCTTTCTCAAACGGAAAATTTCCAACAGAAGTTTGACTTCAAGCAGGTACAGATGGCGCACATGTGTTTCCCGACCTGCTCGGGATACGAGCATCAGCCAATCGGCATGGTGCTCGCGCGTGTTCGCACGGACTCCGTCCGTCGCGGAGTAGCAAGATCCCCCTCGTTTCCCTCCCCTCTCGCCTCTCACCACCCACTTCCACTCGCTCCGCTATAAACACCGCCGCGTTTCATGCTTGTAGCGGAGCAGCACCGTCGCGTCCTATAGGAGGGATGCCGCGGCTCCTGTCGTTCTCAGCAGCGGGTGCTGTTCCGTCATCGTCAACGCTAGCAGGAGTCGCCGGGGGGGGTCGCGCAGCGGCGTGGCGTGCAGGTCGCAGCTGGCAGAGGGATCGGGCTCGTCGCCTTCTGCTCCCGATGTACACGTTGCTGAACAGGTGAGATGTTGAAGGTAAGAGGTCTATCAACAGATGGGTTTGCGTTCCTTTTCTTCCCTTCAATTCAATTCCCTCCCCTCCTTCCCTTCCCTTCCCTTCCCTTCCCTTCCCTTCCCTTCCCTTCCCTTCCCTTCCCTTCCCTTCCCTTCCCTTCCCCTCCCCTTTCCTTTCCGCCTTTCCACCTCGTTTTTTCCTCTCTGTTTTCTCACCCTCCGTTCCTGTCCCCGCCCTTCCCGTTCCCGTCGCTTGCTTCCCGTCCCTCCCCTCCCCGTCGCTCACCCCAACTTGAGCGGAACCTTCCACCCCAAAGTTGAGCGGTGTGCTTTGATGAAAAGGGTTTTAGCGAGTATGGAAGCAGGACAAGTAGCACGAGCAGCACGAGGGCGGCATGAGCAGGGACCCGTGGATCTCAACTTTATTCCGCGCCATCCCCTTCCCCCCTTCCATCGCTCTTACTTTAACCGTTTTCTCCCCAACTTTCCAGCCGCCAGGGCAGCTGGAGGAGATACGTAGGGGATTGGAGGAGGTTGAGCGGAACAGAGCAGCGGAGTTGGTGCTACTACGAGGCGAGCTGGTGACTGTAAGGGGGGAGTTGCTAACAACAAGGAGGGAGCTGGCGACAGTGAACGGAAAGTTGGACGTATTGAAAGAGTCTTTAGAAACGATAAAGATTTTGGATGAGGAGGAGGATGATGAGGAGGAGGAGGACGATGATGAGGAGTATGTATATGAGGAAGAGGATGAGGAGGAGGGGGAGATGGTGAAGAGGCTGAGGAAAGGAGCGAGTTCGTATTTTTCAGCAGCTGTGCAGTCTCCAGCGGCGGCGCAATTCCCAGCACCGAAGCATGTGGAGTTTGACGTGGAAGAGGAGCTCCGGATGCGCCAAGGGGCATATAAAACGGTTTGGCAGGTGAGTGCGAAGATGGTGGTGTCAGCTGGTTGATAATTGGATACATGGAATTCACATTTCTTTGCATTTTTTCTCAAAAATTTTCCCTTGCCCTTCTTTTCCACCGTTCTCAGAGAATTCATGCGACCACGACACTGGATCTGAAGGGGCTGCCTTACCTCTCAGAAGCCATCCTCTTCCATGTTTCCACCATGACTCACCTGAAACACATTGATCTCGATGGGTCAACACCATTCAGCCCAGAGGGAATCAAGCACCTCTACATGAAGCAGCTTGAGAGCCTAGAGCTGACCAGCCATGCTGTAACGGACAGCTGCCTGGAAGGCATTGGGGCTGCAAGCAGCCTTAGGTCTCTTAATCTCAAGGGGACCAGTGTGACTGATGCTGGACTGGAGTTTCTGGCACCTTTAAGCCGGCTGAAAGTGCTCGTTCTTCCAGGCACGATCACTGATGCTGGCCTGGAGCACATCCAGAGTCTTTCTGCTTTGGAAGAGTTGGATATATCGGATTCTGTACTTACAGAGGAGGGCGTGGCACTGCTCTAGAAGTTACTGTCAGAATATTATGCTCTAGCCTGTAGTGGGGTGCTCTGTAGCGAGTACAACCCTTCTAGGGTTTGCTATTTGTATCCCCATTCTTGCTAGTGCAACCCCCTCCTTTGCTCGTTTCTCTCTTGCCTAGCTAGGACTCTCCTAGCTATGGCTCCTAAGACTACCGCTTATCTTGACATGCTATCAGAGCAGGTCGACCCCCTTGGGTCGATCCTGTGGGTGGGCCCACCACCTAATGCTTCCGCTGCTGTTCTACTTGTCGCGCGCCTCGGTCGCGCGACGCCTCCTTCCTGCCGAAAATTTTTGAAGGTTTTCATCCCGCCGTACGCTCGGGGCGTGCGGCGGTTTTCTGCCTGCCGTGCGCCCCGAGGCGCGCGGCGGTTTCCCACCGTCGAAGTGCCCCCCGTCGCCCGTCGAAGCGCCCCCCCCCCCGTCGCGGCGAGGCGCGCAGGGGGCGGGCGACGGCGGCAGGCGCGGCGGCGACGAGCGCGGTCGCGAGCGACAGTGGCGGGCGCTGCGACGGGACAGGGGGAGGGCGACGCGACGGGGGGAAAGGGGCGGGTGCGACGGGACAGGGGGAGGGCGAAGCGACGGGGGGAAGGGGCGGGCGCGACGGGACAGGAGGAAGGCGACGCGACGGGGGAAGGAGCGGACGCGACGCGACGGGGGGAGCGCGACGCGACAGGGGGAAAGGGACGGGCGCGTCTCGAGGGGGGGGAAGGCGACGCGACGGGGGGGCGTCCCCGTCGCCCGTCGGAGCGCCCCCCGTCGCCCGTCGAAACGTCCCCGTCGCCCGTCGAAGCGCCCCTGGGACCCGCGCGCGGCCCGTACGGGCTGCGCCAGGCCCGCGCGCGGCCCGTACGGGCTGCGCCAGGCCCGCGCGCGGCCCGTACGGGCTGCGCCAGGCCCGCGCGCGGCCCGTACGGGCTGCGCCAGGCCCGCGCGCGGCCCGGGCAGCCCGCGCGCGCCTCGTCCCGCCTGCGGCAGACCCGTGCGCGCGCCTCGTCCGTCCCCCAAGCTTCTGTCGGCGCCCCACCCCCGCTACTGCCCGCGTTCCTGTGTTAGGGTTTGGGGGTGGCGGGTGTGGGGGTGCCGGTTGTGTGCCCCGTCCCCTCCTTCTCCTCCTCCTCCGTCTCCCGCTGCTGCAGCTGCCGCTCAGGGGGGTGGGTGTGTGGGGAGCTGACGGAGTGGAGCTAGGGGCGAAGCAGGGGGTGTGTGTCGAGGGGTGTGGGACTGTTGGGGGAGGTTGAGCGGAGGCCGCCGTCGTGTCGTCTGCAGCGCCTGTATTCCGGGGTTCTGATAGCCACCGGTAGCTCAGAGAGCCGGTTGCACCTGTCGCCCGTGGGTCCGTTGCTCCTGTCGCTGCTGATCAGACGCAGAGCCTGTTACTCCTGAATTCCGAGGCCCTTGCTCCCGGTAGCCACTAGAGCTGCACCAGAGCCGTCTGTTGCCCGTGTGTCTGCAGCTTCAGTCGTCGCCTCCACTCTTCTCTCCTCTCGCCAGCCCTCCTCCTCCTCACTTGCCCTCTGTGACTGCCTCTAGCTTTGCTCATAAAATGTGAACTACTATTATGACTGCTTGTTGTGCTGATTACACCCCACTTTGGCTATGGGGGTGTGTCAGAATGTTGTATTTGTCTAGCCTGCAGTGGGGTACTCTATAGCAAGTACAGCCCAATCTAGGGTTTGCTATTTGTATCTCAACTGCTGCTAGTCCAAACCCTCTTTCTGTTTCTAAACTTTGCCTACTACTTCTGACATGGTATCAGAGCTTAACGTTCGTGGCCTGTGGGCCCACTTCACTGCTTCCGCTGCTACTGCTACTGCTACTCCCTGTCCGCCGCGCGCCCCGTGGTGCGCGGCGTCGAAACTAGGGTTTTCAGCCCGCCGTGCGCCCCGAGGCGCGCGGCGGTTTTCTGCCCGCCGTGTGCCCCGAGGCGCGCGGCGGTTCTCTGCCCGCCGTGTGCCCCGAGGCGCGCGCGGTTCCTCTCCTGCCGCCGTCAATCGGCGCGTCGCCCCCGGGAGGCGCTGCGACGGGCGACGGGGACCCGCGCGTCGCCCCCCGTCGCCCGTCATGGCCCGCGCGCGGCCCGTACGGGCTGCGCCAGGCCCGCGCGCGGCCCGTACGGGCTGCGCCAGGCCCGCGCGCGGCCCGTACGGGCTGCGCCAGGCACGCGCGCGGCCCTTACGGGCTGCGGCCGGCCCGCGCGCGGCTCGGACCGCCTGCGCGCGGTTCGGGAGGCTGTGCCAGGCCCGTGGGCGGCCCGTTCTTCGCTGCCCCTGTCCTCCCCGCTGTCCCCCGTGCTTCTGAAGGCGCCCCACCCCTCCTTCTGCCCGTTCTCCTGGATTAGGGTTTGGGGTTGGGGGGTATGGGGGTGCAGCTTCTGTGTGCCGTTGCCTGCTCCTCCTGCTCCTCCTCCTCCTCCGTCTCCCTGTGCTGCAGCTGCCGCTGAGGGGGGTGGACCTGTTGGAGCCGTCGGAGTGGTACTAGGGGGGTGAAGGGGGAGTGGAGCTAGCGGTGTAGCAGCGGGTGTGTGTCGAGGGGTGTGGGACTGTTGGGGGAGGTTGAGGGGAGGTTGCCTGTACTCCGGGGCACTCACTCCCGGTAGCTCAGAGAGCCGGTTGCGCCGTCGCCTGTGGGTCCGTTGCTCCTGCTGCTCGTCTTAGCCGCGGAGCCTGTTACTCCTGTACTCCGGGGCACTCACTCCCGGTAGCCACTGTGTCGCACCAGAGCCGTCTATTGCCCGTGTGCTGCACTTCAGTCGTCGCCTCCCATCTACTCTCCTCTCGCCAGCCCTCCTCCTCCTCACTTGCCCGTTGTGACTACCACTAGCTTTGCTCATAATTGTGAACTTTAAACTATTGCTTCTTAAACTTGTGCTCAGAATGTGTGGTGACATTGTGATCCACCCTGAGCTTGTACTGCTTTGCTTGCTCTGCTGATTACACCCCACTTTGGCTATGGGGGTGTGTCAGAATATTATGCTCTAGCCTGTAGTGGGGTGCTCTGTAGCGAGTACAACCCTTCTAGGGTTTGCTATTTGTATCCCCATTCTTGCTAGTGCAACCCCCTCCTTTGCTCGTTTCTCTCTTGCCTAGCTAGGACTCTCCTAGCTATGGCTCCTAAGACTACCGCTTATCTTGACAGTTACCTCGTCTGAGGCTGATTAGAGCGATAAGTTACGACTCGAGTGTACTCTTGCAACGAAATTTTCCTGGCATAGAGCTGGGGTAGTGTTGCTCTTGGTTATATGAATCGGAAGTAGTCATATTGGTTTTTTCATTGTTGTAACCGTTTCATTTTCAGCATTTCCAAAGATAATACTGAATATCCGATGTTCACACTAACCCTGGCGGATTGAGGTGAAGGATCATAATAACGAGATTTTCCGGTTTGAGAGAATAGCGCGACCCGACAGACAGCCGTGATCAGATGGAAAAGAGGGGTCTTGATGGCTCGTCCTTGTGCAATCGTCTAGTCAGCCGTGATCAGATGGAAAAGAGGGGTCTTGATGGCTCGTCCTTGTGCAATTCATACCCAGATTTTTCGGGTCTAGTCCAGAAAGGCACAAAAAACCTGGAGCACTAAGGGCGGTCAGGAATACACATTTCATATCTTCTTGCTTTGGTTCGCACACACTTAAAGCCCGAGGTCAGCATGGTTTTTGGTAAAATTTCTGAAGGGCTTAAACGTTTTGGCGAAAGGCAAAAAAGTTCATTTCGGGAATATGGCCGGGGCGAAAGCGAGATCTGGCTGCGAGGGGATTGGGAATTCGTCACTCAATATCAGTATGAATGTGCGACAAACCAACCCAACCAACCAACCAAACGAGTAGCCAACCTCACCAGTCTTGTGTTAGTACTAGCCAGAAAGGACCCCGACAGCACATCGTAGCATAGTACAATACGCAGATTTAGGTACTTCACCCGCGCATACACAATAATTTGGTGCCTCGCCTCCCGTAGTTGTGTCTCTTATCGCCGCGCCCCTGTCCCATCGTCACGCCCGCTCGTTTCGGGGAGCCTCCCCTCGTCGCGGCTCCGCTCACCTCGTCGCGGCTCCGCTCACCTCGTCGCGGCTCCGCTCGCCTCGTCCGGCTCCGCTCACCTCGTCGCGGCTCCGCTCACCTCGTCACGGCTCCGCTCACCTCGTCGCGGCTCCGCTCGCCTCGTCGCGGCTCCGCTCGCCTCGCCGAGCCTCCGCTCGCCTCACCGCGCCTTGGCTCCCCTCGTCGCGCCTCCGCTCTCCTCGTCGCGCCTCCGCTCCCCTCGTCGCGCCTCCGCTCCCCTCGTCGCGCCTCCGCTCCCCTCGCCGCTACTCCGCTCCCCTCGTTGCGCCTCCGCTCCCCTCGCCGCGCCTCCCCTGCCATCAGCCGCGCCAACACCCTCGTCGCGCTGCCCCTCCTCGCGTCTCCACTCCCGTTTCTTGTTACCTTCCCCTATATCCCTCTTGTTACCTTCTATTCGGTCTTGTTACCTTCCCCTCTATTCCCTCTGCTTCCCCTCATTCCCCGTCTGCTTCCCCTCATTACCCCTACCCCCTCTTCTTCCCCCATTTACTCCCCTGCTTCCCCTGGTTTCCCCCCTTCTTCCCTATTCCAGCCCCCAGATTTCCCTATATTTAATTTCCGCTTCCCCTCCCCTAATTTCTCCTATTGCTTCCCCTCATGTCCCCCTCTGCTTCCCCGCATTTCCCCCACTGCTTCCCATGCCCTCCCCCCTCCGCTTCTCCTCATTCCCCCTCCGCTTCTCCTCATTCCCCCCTCCGCTTCTCCTCATTCCCCCCTCCGCTTCTCCTCATTCCCCCCTCCGCTTCTCCTCATTCCCCCCTCCGCCGCTTCTCCTCATTCCCCCCCCGCTTCTCCTCATTTTCCCCTCCGCTTCTCCTCATTCCCCCCTCCGCTTCTCCTCATTCCCCCCTCCGCTTCTCCTTATTCCCCCCTCCGCTTCTCCTCATTCCCCCCTCCACTTCTCCTCATTCTCCCTCCGCTTCTC